GATGAAATTTAAACTTTTTAAAATTATGCAAACTTGCAGAATATTTTTAAGGTTACCTGCTATAAAAAGCCAGGACTGGAAAATCTCTTTCATGTTTTTCTGTTTTATCCTCAGTTACTTTCACACAAAGGCATGTGCTGTGATGCTCACACCTCTGATGAAGTCTCACAGTGTCAGTACTGATAAATGATCAGAACTATAATATTTCTGACTGTCTGAAGCTAAATCAAATCAAATCGGGACCTCGTGAATTGGAATCAAATGGATTATAGAAATCAGTGACGATACCCAGCCCTAGTGAGCAGCCTAGGCCCGGCAGAAGTGGAGGTAGCTGTGGGTAATAGTAAAGATGAAAAGAACTATTGATAACTTTTTGTTAAGGCCTGATCCGTCTGAAGTTCATAGCCACCTCTGACACGGAGCCATCAATCTCTGAGCGTTGAAAAAGCACAGTGTATCCAGAAAAGACATTACAGTATATGCTGCGATAAATGCACTGCCCAAGTGTCCCCTCTAACACTGCCTTTCAGCAGCAGGCAGCAGCAAACAGGTCGTCAGAGGCCAATGTGATGATTAAGTTTGACATTGTCTACAATATTGCCAAAGAGTGCCAACGCTCTTTAAGCACAAGCACTTTTTCAGTAACTTATCTTTCTTGTAGAAATGTGCTCCAAACAAAGAACTTTGTGTTGACAAGATTGTTAGTTAACCATTTACAAATTAATAGTGTCTGTATGGACAGCAATTTCCCCCCAAAAAGTGCACATGTAAAACTGTGGTTTTAAGCAATGTGGTTGAAAAATTTGGGTGTGCCTAACTGGTGCTGGTGTGTCTCAGAAAAAAAGAAAGACGCACCAGTGCAACCACAGCAAAAGGTTAGTCTAGAGCCCTGGTGTGGCAGATAAGTTAGACAGGAATTACAGGACTCTTTGCTTTCTGAGAACTGCAGTTTGCTCCACCTTCTGAAATGATGAAATAAGCCGTCTATCAGGTGACACAGTTGTCTGTGGGCACTGAGAACTGGCTAACATCTGCTAAATGAATTTAGAATATAACACTCATGGGGAGTGTAATAGTCTAGCTTAGTTATAGCACAGAGGCTAACAGTAGCCTGGCTAACAATAGGCAGATTTCCACACATAGTCAGACCCTCTCTGCACGCTCACTTTGAGACAGCAAAATTTACCTGAAGAATTCTAGAAAACAAAAGCACAGCACAGGGTTGAGACAGCTTTGTTAAGAATAAACTTATATGGAGGACGGGGCTATGGCCCCCCACACCCTCTAGCAGATCATTACATGAAGGAACCTTTTAAAAACAAGCGCGTCCATGTTCACAGGTGTACACACGGGTGATCACACCCACAAACTACACCCTTTCTGGCTCCTACCTCAAAGCACACCGTGTTCTGTTGATCTTATGTGCTGCACAATAATGTTTAACATTTAGTATTTACTGTCATATTCCCATAGATCATTGTGATGTTGTTTATTCTATTACTCTTGTTCTCTTCTGCTTGTTTTCTTTTTTCTTTCTCAGCAGGTGATTGATATATGCATTTTTTTTCTTTTTTTTCTTCTGCTCATTCTGTTGGTTTTTGTCTTTTGCCCTTCTCCCCCGTCCCTCTTCTCAGCTGTTTCTCTTTCCCTCTTTCTTTCCCCCAGTCAAGTCTGTCCCGTATTCAGTAAGTGAAAATAAAATAAACAATAAAAGGTGAATCAAATGGACCATTACGGCAAGGCTGGGATGGTCAATTTGGTAAAGTAAATCCGTTGGGCATCTTTCTTTGCCTTTAGACAACAATTCTGATGCAAAAGAGCCAAACAGGACAGGCCAAAAAAAAAAAAAGAATAAACTTATAAAAGTTTAATAACTAGATTTACTCATCACTTCTACAAAAATCCATACATTCTGGTCTATATTTACACACATGTATTGCTTAATCTGTGTAGCGGACCACCAGGGGACTCCACTCACACCCAGCGAGAAGGGAAATGGGAAGAATGATGTTTCTGGGTTCTAAGGGATGTTTTGCCTCCTTGTGAAATCAGTTTAGTAAGCTGAGAATAAAGTTGGAGAGAAATGTGACGAGCTCTTGCGTCGTCCTTACATACCTCCACACCTGGATATTAGGGATGCAAAAAAAGAGTAGTTCTGAATATCTCTAAAGATTTGTTAGCTTAACAACCTTGAATGTTTGTTCCTGCTTGCTTTGATTTGACCTTCCGCTGTTGTGTGGAGAGTGCGCAATAGTTAGCAATAGAAGAGTCATTGTTTGGAAGTACTTGCTTCTCATTGGGTGAACACAGAGATAGAGCTGATCTTAATTTCTTTCATTCAAATACAAGCAATGAGAAAGAATGTTAAACAATCGTTTTTATATCCAAACACGTGCCTTAGTTGACTTTTTTGAGTGCAGGCCGGTCAGCCTTTAATCATCCCATTCTTCATCCATTATTTGTCTCGACTCAGCCAATGTGGTTGTGTTGGTCGCTCTGGCACAAACAGCACACACAAACTGGTCCCACAAGTGTCCATGCAGCGCTCAGCATAGCGGTCTCTACATCTGTACTCCTTGACCCTGTGATCCAACTGCTGTAGGCAGAATCTGGACTCAGTGCTGAACATAACATCCCTCCACTTTTTCAGCTTCCAGTGGCATGTTGCTGACACCAGTGCAAACAGGCCTGAGTAGGAAGGGCAGTCATGGCAGGCCTCCTGGCAGCCCTGTGAGGCCAAAGATTGGCTCCGTGTAGTCTGTTCTGGATTGTCTGACTGTGGGCCATATTGTCCTGCAATCCTTGACTGCAAATCTGTAGAAGACTGCCTACAGGTCCCAAGTACTGACACAGGGAGGAAATTATCTTCTTGGGACGCAAACGTCACGGCCTGTCCCTGACATCTCCCATTGGAACTTGACCTTTAATTTGTAGATGGTACTAGGGCTCACTCCAAATAATGCAGCAACTTATTTGTTGGAAGAAAATATTGAAGTTGCCGTGTGGCATTCGCCCTATCCACATCAGTCAAACGTGGCAGACACCACCTGACCGCTGTAGCAGGGTCCATGCTCATAGATCCTGACAGTCAGGCACCTGATTGTCAGCCCATGAGGTACTAGAAGCTCAAAACATGAGCCAAAAATGTGCTGTTTTGTAGTGGCAGAGAAGAGCTGGCAATTTTTTATGGGACCAACCCACAAATGTGTCCCTGTTAATAAAATAAACAGGCTTTCCAACAGTGTAAGATTTAATGCCAAGAAGCATCGTTACAGCAAAGACATAATTGGTCAAACACACTTATTTTTACATGTCAAAATGACGCCAGGAAGAGGACGTTCAGTACTAAAGGTCACGGAGTAAAAATAAACATCACAATTAGGTATTTACATAATCTGCCATTAATCAAATAACAGCATGAAAGGTAATAATTTCAGACTCTACATGGCCACATAAAAGCCCGAGCAGCGGTGGAAAACATTTCTTTTGAACATTTATACACGTAACCAGGTGCCTCAGCTTACTGGCTAACAAGGATTGTTTATGTTCTGTATATCATGTCCCAGTCTCGGTAATGGAACTAATAGACTAACTGCAGCTTTCTTATAAGAGGTATTTATGTACAATTAGCTCACCTTGAATTGTAGGTGAAATAAATAAAGGTGAATATTAACGCACATTCACACCACTGCCCCAAAGTGCCGCCTTCCTCTTTTCCGTTTACAGATTTAATCCTTAAAACCATTTTTAAGGCTCGCGCAGCCGTGTTTGTACCTAACCGCGTGCGGGATGCAGGTGGGACTGTTCTTGGAAATGGCAGGAGTTGGCAAATATGTTTGAAGTTAGCGTAAATACAACCGGAAATGATGAATGTTGTAGCTGTATTTAGGCTTAAAACAAATTGTTTAATTCATGATAAACTACAGCAGGAAATACAATGAAATCTGAAATTTTTATTAGACTTATTACTATGGACTTTCTTATTTTGAAATACGACACCGGAAGTTGTTTTAAATGCGTATTCGTTTATTATACGGGTCAACAACTGCTGCTTTACCAGAAAGCAGAAGGTGATAAAGTAACGTAATTTGGCGATGTGACATGTATGTCAGCCAACCTGCGTACGGTTGAAAAGTTTTCAGTGTGTGTTGTCCGCTGTTTTAAATGGTGCTGCGGTAAGGAGTGCTGCAGTCTTGTAAAAGGTGAGTTATAGTCGGAGCAGTTAACTACTTGTAGCGCATGAGAGCGAAGTTTTGGTGGAGCTGCAAGCTTCCTTACTTTGCTAGCTAGTAGCTTACCTTTTCTAGCCTGCTAAAGTAATAGAGCGTTGGCCACACCGAAATAACGAAGCCAACGTAAACTCAACACCTTTTCATTCACTATAGTCGCATCTGTTCAGCAACACTCGCGCCATATTTACGGTTTCAGGCTTCAGCGAGCCGCTTTGAATGTACACTTAAGTTAGCAAGCTAAGCTATCTGTTAAACTTCCCTGTTCCGCTCGCTAGTCAAGTGCCAAGGATGTAAACATATGGCTCTGTCGATACCACCGCTGTTCTCCGCTCAGTTTGACTCTTGTTTTTATTTTTTAAACACACGCTTTGGTTCATTATCTTGTCGTCCACGTCACATTGGTTGGTAATACAAGGCAATGCCTCAGTGATAAATTAGTCATATGTTTCTTAGAAAGTTCCAGTCAGACTGATTTGGGGGTGTGAGCTCATATTGTTTACATCAAAGATGTTTTTCTTTTTTAATGTTGTCATTTTCTTTGAGGAAAATTGGAATCGTAGTTTTTACTTATTTTTCGGGAATGCATGCCCCAGAGTTGTTAACAGCTCATCTGCAAAGCTCATAAAAACTGTCTGATTAGCAGTTTCATGGTCAGATAAGGCCTGTTCCTTTGTTGTGCCAAAAACTGATTTCCAACGTTTTTTTTTCCATGTGTGATGTCTTTACTTATGTTGGTAAGTAGACTTAAGTAAACAGGATTTACAAAGTAGTTATATATAAAATTGAAAAATTACCTGTTCTTTAAGTGTTTTTGTGTATTATTTCACCCATATTATACATTTGGCCATCTAAAATATCTTTAGAGAAGTATTGTTATATTTGTTGCAATTTCTGACAGACCAATGACTTGGAAAAAGTCATTTTTAATGTCAATGAGACTTTTATTTTTTTAACTGAGTAAATAAAGGATGTATAAAAGCCAGTCTGCCAAAAACTGATTGTGCCTACTTCATATCATTCATGAGGGATACATTTGACACATATTTCATATGTTGTAGGCCAACGGGAATCATTTTTTGGCAGTAGATCACTTTTTGACACAACACCTTCATTTGGTCGCTATATAAGGTAACCCATATCTGGAGTTGAATGCACTTTTGAACTTGCTTTTCGTATCTTTACATTGGTACTTTTAATTTGAAGTCCAAACATTTGTCAGTGCAAGTGAAGGAGCCCATCATTAGGGAGAATGAAGAACAGATAAACCTATGAGAAAGGCAGATAAAACTTTAAGAGTGGCCAAATCAGCGATCTGGTAAATTCTTAAAAAAAAATAAATGCATTTGGCACCTCAGCGAATGGCCTGGAAGGCCTGTGTGGAAAATTATCATGTATTTTTTTATTTTATTTTTTTTATACATTAAAAAAAAAAAAAAATCATCATTTCCGTCACACTTAAAGGTCCCTTTTTACTCCTGAGATGGGAAGATCTAAGATTAATTTTGGTTTAAACATTATTTATTTTCTGTCAGAGGTTGAACATGAACATACATAAATCAACAGTAATGTATTACTACTGTATTTTAAATAAATAACAGCGGTGTATGTATAATAAACAAAATTATTTATTGTGATTAGGCAAAAGTTTCATGTGTTTCAGAAGAACACCAATGAACCGGAAAACGGAGTATTTTGGTCTGTTCCAATAAAATAAAGTAGCTATTAAACAAAAAATCTGATAGTGTATTGTTTTTGGTGTAAAAACGGCTAGTTTGAAGTTGCTGGGGAACAATTCCACAAATAGATAAAGGAGGAAAAAGAACATATTTTGTCTCCTCAGTAGAAGATCAATAACTCTTTAAACATAAACAAAACAGACACTCCAGTTAGGGCTGGGCCATATTATACCGTTCACGGTAATACCGGTATAATGTTAAGCAACAATAGGAAAATGAAATATCGCGATAGAATATGAGTAAAACGCGCATGCGCAGTGCCTTTGTTTTCATGCACATGGCCGATTGTTGAGTGAAACAGATGAACCAGAATTGGTTTGTAAAAATGGTGCAACTTCAGTGATGTGGAACTGGTTTGGTGTTTGTCCGTCAGATACACAACAAAGCACATTTTTTTGCAGAACATGCAAGCGGCCGTCGTTATTGTCGTATTTGTCGGACTAAGATGCTCTTAAATCTGGGAGTAATCTGGGTCCTAAACTCCGTATGCTTCAGGTCAAACGAACACTGCAGCATCACTGAGAGTTAAAAACTGTCTCAATTCTTTCATCTTTAATAAAACGATCAGCATTGCTGCTTTACCAGGTGAAACTATGAAGTTTAACTTCCAGGCATCCATGAAAACAAAATTTATTACATTTAACGGAGTTAGAAGTTCCCGTGCACCTTATGGTCCGAAAAATACGTACTGCACACTGCAGTTTAATGTTGCAAAGCACCTCTTTTTAACTTCAGTGGATATTATACATGGTTATGCTCAGGATATGTCAGCCCATTTCTACTGGAAATGCCTTTTGGTTAAACTTTCAGCAAGGAATTTGCATTTGCACTGTTACATTTTTATAAAGCTTTAATGTACATAAAAACCAGCTTCTTGTTTAAGTGAAAATAAATGGAAGGTTGTCTTTTTGCGCTAGTAATGTTGTGGAGTTGTATTTTGTCTCGCATCAATTATATCGTCAGTTATATCATTATCGCAAATTTTCAAATATATATCATGATAAATATTTTTGGCCATATCGCCCTGCTCTAACTCCAGTTATTCTCCAAGGGGAACAGAGAGAACATAAAGTGTGGTTAATGACGTGGGCAGTGAGACTCTCATATGGATCCAATGTTGTAGTGAAAACAGCTGTTCAGCAGCGTCTCTAGCCTCCACGTGTGTGGGGAAAAGCCCAGTGAGAGAAATGTTAATGATCACAGAGCTACGCAGGTCAGTTACTTTAATGAGCTGCATAAAGCCGATGTTTGCCATTCTTGTCTTATAACGGCGTTACCTGGCTTTGGGGAAACAAACTTCAGTCCTAACATACCACTGTGTAGCAGCCCAAACATTAGGAACATTAGCTGCCGGTTGCTCCTCCTCCACTCTCACAGGGCTCCAATTCTACTTCAAACACATGAATGATTTGTGCAGCACTATTGTCGTTGGGCTTTCATGTTGTCTGTCAAAATAGGGATGGGATGGGCTCTATTGACTATATATATTGACCATGTTTTCTGAATAATTATTTGGTTTTATCACCCAGGTCTAGACACTGGCATGAATGTGAATACAGAACATTTACAACAAGGTGCAAACCACTGGTTACACTCAAGAACAGGAAGGGTGGATGCTACTAGATTACTTGTATAATGCAAATGGATAAGCATAGCAAAGCATACCACAACAGCAACGTAAGAGTGTCTAAGAAATGTGATATTCTCCCATGGCCAAGTCAGCCACCTGATCTCAACCCAGTAGCGCATACTTTTCAGTTACTGTGGTCCAAAGTGAGGGCAGAGAGACCTACAGACAAGCACAGACTGGAAGTGGCTGCAGGCCTGACAGAGCATCTCAGAGACTAAGCACTTGATGTCCATGGGGCTTAGGGTAGTCACTGACTGCTTGTTCACCCAAGTAATGAACCTCATCTTCAGTATTAGCGTGCTTGTTTGTCAAAGCGTTTTACTTTTAATCCTCTGGAAGTTGGAACTCTTATAAAAATACTTTTGTCAAACCCCCTTGAGTGACTCAAGTGCAGTCTTTCAGTCTGCACTTGAGTCACGTCATAATTGTTTGATTTAAAGTCCACTGCTACAGTGTACAGAGGCAAAATAACATGGAATGTATTATTGTCCAACTTATGGACTTAACTCATATTATTTGTAGGATATATTTTTTGCATTTCATTGTGTGAAAATCAGTAACGTATCTGTCATATGGCATCAGCTGATATTGTTTGCCTAGTGTTGCTCGCCCGGTCCTCTTCTGTCATTATTGTGTGAATGCCGTGATCACCAGTTTTGCTTCCCGGGCTGAGCCATGTTTTAGCTCAGTGAGATGAGCACCTATTCTCAGAGTGGGAGGCCGGGGTTCAAATCCCGCTTATGGCAACATTTTTTTCAGTTAATAGTTCAACCTTTTCAGATCTTTTCAACGAGAATGTCAGCTTCTTCACCACTTTTCAGCATAATTTTCAGTGCTTTCACCTCTTTTCAGCACAAATTCCAGATTATTCAGCTAATATCAGCACAAACGTCAGATTCTTTACCTCTTTTCAGTTTCTTCAGCTCTTTTCAGAAGTTTGATTTCCTTGAGCTCTTTACAGCCGAAAGTTTAAATGTTCAATTCTTTTCAGCACAAATTTCAGTCACTTCTTCTCTTTTCAGCAGTTTTCAGCTTCTTCACCTCTATTCAGCATAAAGTTCAACAACTTCACCTCTTTTCAGCAGAAATCTCAGCCTCTTCTTCTCTTTTCAGTATAATTTTCAGGTTCTTCATCTCATTTTTTGCTGAACATTCTGCTTCTTCACCTCTTCTGAGCACCATTTAGCTTCTTCCGCACAGTGCACATTTTTTCTCTCATCATATCTTTGTTTGAGACTAGAACTGGTTTGGCTCAATGGGTTGAGCAGCCGCCGTGAGATTTGGTGGCAAAGGTTCGAATCCTACATGTGACATTTGCTGCACATCTTCCCTGCTTGCATGTACTCTGCTTTATTGACGCTGCTTGGTGTACCCTTTCAAAGACAGCCATTTTCAGCAAAGACTTCAGCTTCTACACAGTGTTTTTTCAGCAGGTTCTCCTTCTGCTGTTTTCAGATTCCACTACATGGCATTCACACAGCAGTTTTCGCAGGAAATGCAACTTTTTCTAGTTCTTTGTTCTTCTACCATATTCTAGTTGTTCCAACCTTTGCTGGTTAACTCCTCCCTCAGTTTTCAGCCGATTTTCACCATTCAAACTTTAAACTGTTCTGCTCCTTCTGCTAATGCCTGCTATATCTTTTGGTGCTCATAACTTTTATACTTTTTGAGATATTAAGCTTTTTATGCCATTTTTTGGCCCATTTTGCTGAATGGGACCACATTATCAGTTAACACTTCAACTGTTTAAACTCTTTTCCACACATTTTTCAGCTTTTTCACCTCTTTTTAGCAACATTTTCAAAAGTTCCAGCTTCTTCAACTGTTCTCAGCACAAACTTCAGGTTCTTTACCTCTTTTCACCAAAAAAATTCTGCTGGTTCACCTCTTTTCAGAACAATTTTTAGCTTTTTTTCACCTCTTTTTAGCACAATATTTAGTCTCTTCTGCTCTTTTCAACACAATTTTCAGGTTCCTTATCTCCTTATCTTTTTGCTGAACATTCAGCATTTTCACCTCTTTTCAGCATAATTTAGCTTCTTCTGCACAGTGCACATTTTTTTTCTCTCATCATGTCTTTGGTTGAGACCAGAACTGGTTTGGCGCAGTCGGATGCGCAGCTGCCGTGAGATCTGGTAGCAAGGGTTCGAGTCCTACATGTGACAGATGCTGCACATCTTCCCTGCTTGCATGTAATCTGCTTTCTTGACACTCTTCATTGTACCCTTTCACATACAGCCATCTTCAGCAAGCATTTCTGCTTCTACACCTCTTTTCAGCAGATAATTCTGCTTTTCAGCTGTTTTCAGCAGATTCCACTACACGGCATTCACACTGCATTTTCGCTGGAAATGCAACTTTTTCTAGTTGCTAATTGCTGTTCTTTTCACTCTGTCTAATCTGCTGACCTGGCCTTTTTTCCTCCTGTGTTCCTGGATTCACAGGATAACCATGGCAATGTGGATCCAGGCCCAGCAGCTGCAGGGTGATGCCTTGCACCAGATGCAGGCCTTGTACGGCCAGCACTTCCCCATTGAGGTGCGGCACTACCTGGCCCAGTGGATTGAAAGCCAACTCTGGTATGCAGAATTACACCAGTCTCTTTCCAGTCCTGCCCAACTTTATTTAGATGGCACATTTAAAACGGCAATATTAACCAACGTCATGTACATAAAATAGGGTCACACACACGATACTCAGTAAATAAATAAATAAAAACTAACTGTAATCAGTGTTTCTGTGTGTGTTTATATAACAAACCAGACCTGGATCAGTGAGTAGTGTTGGTGAAGGCTGTGCATTCTATTAACAGTTTAAAAACAATGGTACCGTTCACAGGGACTCAGTGGAGTTGGATAACCCAGCAGAGGAAACCAAAGCCAAGCGTCTGTTGGATAATCTGGTGGCCGAGCTCCAAAAGAAAGCCCAGGTCCAGGGAGGAGAGGACGGCTTTCTGCTCAAGATCAAGCTAGGTCACTATGCTAGCCAGCTAAAGGTACGTGTTGGCTACAAGAAAAATGATGGTGTGTTACTACTGGAACCTTTGTCCCAACATTTCCCTCATATATTTTGTGTAAACTTGTGCTGATGTTGTCTAGTTTTTATACAAGCACATCTCCACAGCTCGGATCTAGACCCTGGGTCGTGTTTATTAAACTTCAGTCTTTTCTAATACGGCTGAGGAGAAGCCCTCAGATTTTCTTGTCTACATGTGTGTTTGGGTTGCAGAACATTTAGCTTCTTTCCTGTCGGTTTGTCTTTTTTCATTAATGTTAATCTAATGTTCTGATGTGTGCCGGGTGGCGGCCAGGAGCGGAGGCCCTGGCGGACTGACCCCCGGCTGCCAAGACTGGCAATAGGGACATGGAATGTCACCTCTCTGGTGGGGAAGGAGCCTGAGTTAGTGCGTGAGGTTGAGAGGTACCGGCTAGATATAGTCGGGCTCACCTCTACGCATGGCTTCGGCTCTAGAACCAGTCTCCTGGAGAGGGGCTGGACTCTGTCTCAGTCTGGAGTTGCCCCTGGTGAGAGGC